TGTCAAGATACCAAATATTCCTTTTTGATTTATTATTACGTCACCATCTAGTTTTTTAAACTTTTAATTAAAAAAATTATGAGAGTATATCACCTTTTGTTTGATTCCTAGTAGTTTCATACATGACTTGAACTTTTTGTCACATGACCTTGACCTCTGATCCTTGAAGTTTCATTTCAAGGGAAACTTGAACTGTTCTATTGCTGTCTGGCTTCATGATAAATTACCTTTGTCCTGAAATCAAGAAAATGGGAATTAAGCCATTTATATTGAAAAGATATTTTTGTTTGACTACCAAATATGGCATATACAACCATATAAGATCAAATATTAGAGTAGTGTAAGATTTATCCATCCCAATTCCAGAAATTTTCAGTAGATTAGCCTTAATAAATGCTGAACAATATCTACTCTTTATGCATATGTACTTAATTTTTGATATTTAAAATTAATGTTATTTTTAATGAGAATGATATGGTATCTGTCATGAATTGTTTTGTAATCTTACCCCATTCCCCTCCCCATTATATCACACCTGGATCATAACACTGGTGTAATTAGATAAGTAACTGCCTCCACCACAGGATCTAGTGATGACAGCTGGATGTCTGGAAAAAGTATTCTGGAAAACATATATTTCAGGTCAAATATATGTAAAAACAGATTCTAGACTTTGATATCGATAGTATTTAACCTGTACTGGAATAGAAAAATGACGGAAAACATTATCCACATTCAGACTTCATGTTTTAAGGGACTCTGGATTTATTTTAAGATGATTGACGTGATTAAATTTCTATATTTACCTTCTGTATATCAATACTGTATAAATAACATTTAAAAAAAAATTAAATTGACATAATTAAATTTCTTATTTACTTTCTGTATATCAATACTGTATATATATAACATATTAAAAATAGAACTTCATGTGCATATATTTGAATGATTGAACTGAAATTAATTGGTGTTTATTTGCTGTTGTCGGTGTCCATCCTTCCCTTGAGACTAGCGTTGTTTATGTTTGAATATTGTATAACAGATCAATATCTATTTTAGGTTATAGAAATGATTACATCACCACATTTAAAAAGGGACAGTGTGGACCTCACAGTGTCAGGAACATAATCTATCTTATCATGTTGACAAAAACACATTATACCATGTACTTAAAAGAAATTCTAAAATGGGGAAATCAAGAATACCAATAATAGCTGTGAAAAATGTGAATTGTTTATCTTGTGGAAGATTGCTGGGATATCTAATAAGTTGATGACTTGACAAAGGCATTGATAAAACTTAAGTATGTCAAAACTCGGTTAGGAAGACATAAGATCTACACATTTTTGAAACGGACAATTAGTCTGTGCAACCAGCATGTTAGACAGGAATTTATAACGTCTTGTCCCTTATATAGCTGTGTATCTAGGCCACTATACCTGGAACTCTTCAAGGAGATTCAAATTTAAAGATGATAGCTTTTTCTCAGACAGATGTTTGTGGCTTGATAACAATCCTGTTTTAGGAAAAGTCTCATCGTTGTAAAGTCACGGTCATGCTTTACGATAAAATACATATTGATAAGAACCCTGTTTGAGGTGTACCCTCTTGTTACACTTGAATTACAACCCTGTTTAGAAAGTACCTTTCTACATTTTAATAGCAAAAAATTCACCCTGACAACAATAGTTACTGGAGTACTTTCACATTGTTACGTGATACACTTAAAATCCTGTTTTAGGAGTGCCCTTTTATAATAATTTCACCTTGATTACAATACCATTTCAGGAAATCCCCATATTGTCATGAAATAACTTGACTTACAACCCTCTTTTAGAAGTATCATTTTGTAACAATAATTCTGCCTTGATTACAATACTGTTTTGGAAAGTCCTCACATTGTCATGAAATAACTTGACTGAAAACCCTGTTTTAGAAGTATCCTTTTGAAAAATGATTTCATCTTGATTATGAACTATTTCAGGAGATCCCCACCTTATCATGAAATAACTTGAGTTACAACCCTCTTTTAGAAGTATTATTTTGTAACAATAATTCCGCCTTATTTACAATGCTGTTTAGGAAAATTCCCACAATATCATGAAATAACTTGACTTACAACCCTGTTTTAGATGTATCATTTGTAACAATAATTTCTCCTTGATTATGGTACTGTTTCAGGAGATCCCCACATTGTCATGAAACACACCTGACTTACAATCCTGATTCTGGATGTCCTAATTACAAACTTTGTTTAATGAGAACTCTAGTGATACTATATGTACATTTTTTTTATTGCCACCCATTAATTCAGTGTTAATATTGGTTGTATTCAGGGATTATAAATATATTCTATATCACAAGACAAAGATAGGATGTCATCTTGGCACCATGTTGACCTATATTACCTAAGTACTTTGTATGTTACCTTAGATAACACACAATATAAGCCTTACATGAAACATTTAGATTCTGCCATGATCTCTTCCTTTAAATAAACGTATAGGAAGAAAATTCATAATATGTTAGTATTTTGAAATAATTTCTGAAAATGGCTCGCGAGTGGTTGTCAGATTGTATTTATTGTCAATATGGATACAATGTGGGTGATAGTCATGACATTCATTGGAGTGTCTTTTTTTTTTATCTGTAACTCAGAATACATTCATGATGATAATCTGACGACCTTTCAGATAGCTCTTATCAAGATCAAGAGTATAACTTTGGTTTGCGATATGACCCCGGTCTATAGGTGTTCTGATCTTGTATCCAGAGTATAACTTTGGTTTACGACCAGACCCAGGCCTACAGCTGTTCTGGTGTTGTATCCAGAAAATGACATTGGTTTGTGACCATACCCAGGCCTACAGCTGTTCTGATCTTGTATCCAGAGTATAACATTGGTTTGCGACCAGACCCAGGCCTATAGCTGTTCTGATCTTGTATCCAGAGTATAACATTGGTTTGCGACCAGACCCAGGTCTATATTTGTGCTGTGGCCATAGTCTGACCTGGATCTTTGATTTTTTGTCCAGATTATGATCTGGACAAGTCCTGATTGGTATAGTGTTTATAATAATAACAAAGCTCAGTATTGTAGTATAGATTTCTATTTTTGTTGATTTCTCGCCTGATTGTGCTTTACATAAGAAACCTATTGTGACTCAGTGACTTGAAAGACTTCAGGGTGGACTGTTGTCCTTGGATTGAGCCATCTGTCGATGGTTGTCTGTCATAAGGCTTCCACAATAACATTTTAAATGGTAGACCAATTTCTGTAATCATCCTAATGAAGTTTGTTTTTATTGAAGCTTGTTTTTAAAAATATTGGCTAGAAGGTAGAAACATTACAATGGACGTGAAATCTGCATTAGATCCTGTTCTGAGTAAACCATTATTGTGAATTGTACAGAGTGGTGAATATCTTGAGGGCTGACTGATTGTATTATTGTATCATGAGATCAATTATATGTTTTCGATCAATAGCTAAATTTTTATTTTTTAAAAATTGTGAATGAAATATATTATTTTACCACAAGTAAGGCTCCTCCTCACTTTGGCGTGTCCTCCAGGAACATAGATTGCTCGCAATTCAGAACCCTCACTGTCATTTATTGTATCCCAGGTTAACAGTCACTCATGTAAAAGAAAATTAAAAAACAATTATCGTGCTTTTTATTTTAAATAAAGTTTAAAACATTCTTCGTGATAAACCATACATGATAATTGTTTGTAAAACAGATCGTCATTATGATATAGTGTCAATGATGTCATTTCGAGCCGCCGTTTCTTCAGCTAGTACTCAATTTACCAGGGCTGATATGCCTGAGTCATGATTATATTAAATTATTCATCATCGATATATCAGTTTGAAGAAATATTTCTCCTAAAAAGCTGTCATATGATTCAGTTTGTGAAAGCTTATAGTGTAACATTTCATTGTCAGTTCATGTAAACAATATCTTGAGGGCTGACTGATTGTATTATTGTATCATGAGATCAATTATATGTTTTCGATCAATAGCTAAATTTAATTTGTTTTTAAAATTGTTTAAAAATTCATTTTACCACAAATAAGGCTCTTCCTCCCTTTATCTAACTGGTACTGCTGTTAGTGAAACAAAGATACACTAGATACACTGTTGTGAAGATTTTTTTCAAGCAAATTCTTTTTTGTCTCTACTACAGTAAATTGAGTATCGGTGAAAGAGGATTAAATTGAGTGTAAACCAACTTTCTTTATCTGCTATGAATTTTGCAATTTCAACAATATAACAGTTTCACAATGATTTATATTCTCAATTCCGTGTCTCCATCATAAAAATTCAAAGTGCAGGGTCTTCTTTTTAAACCCAGTGGGGATCAGCCCCATATCTGGTTGCTTATCATGGGGTGTTTTAGGGGAAACGGGTCAGTAGTGTCCTGTTCATTATTGACCAAAGCGACTTTTGACACCTTAGGAATAGCAAATGGTTCAATACCAAAAGGAATGAATCAGTATAATTAATTTTCAAATTCACAGGTGTCTCATGTTTTTGTTTAGATATCAATTTGAAGGTTGATCACAGGTATAACAATGCTTGCATTCGTATAAATTAAGGTGACCCAGTCATAGAATTCAAACATGATGCAAATTTCCACTGAGTGTTTCATTGTCTCTCACGCTTTTATGAAACATGTTGTAGGACAGGTACTGTGCTCTAAGGTTCAAGATAAACTGTATGCAGATGTGAATGGTTCTTTTTAAAGCAAGGACAGTTAAATATGAAATCTGTCTTCATTTTCTATATCTGATTTCGTTATCAATGTTATCAATTTTCACCATTTCGTTGTGATTGCGAAGATTGGACACAGAAGAAAGTTGCTTTACAATAGGTGTATGATTTTTCGATTTTGTAGCGTTTTCATGTTGTGTTCTTTCTAAGTTGTACATATTAAGAGGCCAACACCTGTATATTAATTGATGGTTAAATGAAAACCTTTTTCTGTCACCACTTCAGATCGAGAAACCCCAGACTGTAGGACTTTCCTACAACACAAACGACCAATGGGAAATTCCAAAGACATCGCTGAAACTCATACGAAAAATTGGGCATGGCCAATTTGGAGAGGTATGGGAAGGACTATGGAACAACACTACACCTGTCGCTATCAAAACCCTAAAACCAGGTAAGCTCTCACATAATTGAATTTAAGTGATATAACAAACAATCTGTTTGTGAACGGTTTTCAGAGTTTTTCATTTTCAACTCTTGATAGCTATATTTGTGGTGCTTAATACTAGTTTATAAAGAAAAGGACTTGTATTCAAGCCAGATTTAAGGAACATCTGTTTCTTGTGCAACAAGTTTAGCAAAAATAACATCACTGCATTATTGTTTTTGGGTTGACAGAATGACCTGGACACCAGTCCATCTTCTGTGACAAAGTAATTAGATATCTTACTGTTGTTGTGGCATGTTACATCACAGGCCTGTGATATTATCAGGGGAGAAAATTAAATTATTCTGACAAATTGGTTTTATTCCTCAGGTTGCTAACAAATTCATGAACACAATTATAAAAAAAGATCATAGTCTCCATAGTAACAATAAAATTAGATAAATCAGTTATGCTGCACAGAACCAGCATATCTGACCGAAATTGTCCAAAGAATGTCCAATCAGTTTTTATTTCCAAACAGTTGTCATGACTACTGCATTGCAGGGTCTGTAATTGGGTGTTTCTGTGCTGTTGGCACCAGCACTTTTATATTATCATGTGGAGACACCTCTGACCATTAGTCTGTACTGAGTAATGGTATATGGGTAATTGCTTACAGTCCTGCTGGGAAAGAAATGTGGAATATGTCTATGGGTACCAATCTACACTGTCATGTAACACCTGGACTTGTGCATAACTAATGTTTTTGCTTCATCAATGGATTGGTTTTTTTTTACAAAGGCTTTTGTTTTTTATTTTGTGTCTTAAGTTTTTTTAACCACTTAAGTACTTGAAAGTGTGCTAGTATTCCATTCAGATTTATAAAGTTTTTCTGATACAAATGTAATTTATTAGTGTCTTACCACAGCATGATGTAAATAAATTTCAAACACCTGTTATATACACATATTGAACACATTAAAACAACTGTTGGATCAATGATAATCTATCAGTGAATGGTAATCTTCACTTTCTGTTTCCTCCATTCTGTAAAATTGATAGCACTTGTCCCTTTTCCATTTGCCTTTTGAAAATAAAATTTTTAAATCAAAAGTTTTGTAGATTAATAGAAATCATTTTCGAGTGGATAAACTTGAATTATCTTTTATTTTAGAATCAGGAAATGCTTGTTAGAATGTTCAGTAAATTTTTTAAGTCTTTTGTGAGATAAAAGATGTATTTATTTATCAGCAAGTGTCACAAAGAAAACATAAGTAATTATAAATTACAAGGGTAGATATAGATTGAAAGCCAAAATACTTTAATTACTCCATGCTTTCCTCTAAATGCGAAGCCTTGATACCAGCTTATCCATTGCCAACTCCAAACTATTTTGCATGTAAAAGTTCACTTAGTTTTTAAAGTATTACAGAGTTCCTTATCAGAAATTTCTTAACTGTTGCTGAATGTTTCTGAGAATGGATTTTAATTTTCCTCAGTCTCTTAGATTTTCTCTTTACTATTTGTTGTTGTTGAAGAAATCATGTTTCATTAATTTCATAAGAATTTCATACAGACCTGAAAATATTTTATTTTGAATAATTATATAGCCAAGAATTTTACTGAATATTTCAAACATTACACTGTTAGATCCTTTTTGTCCTATATCAGTATTGTAATTCTGTCCTTAATCTTCACTCGGATGTCATGATATTCTACTAAAGTTAAATATATAGAAGTTTTCATCATAAAGCTTCATGTTCATTTGTATGGTCACATAGTTGGTCACAATACAGGAGAATATATACTCAAATGAGACTTAAACTCATAGTAAACCATTGATAATGAATTATCAATAGAATTGACATTGTGTAATTTTGTCGAGAGCTGCTCTGGTTGAGATGCTGGGAAAAGCTATAGACCCTACAGCAGAGAAAGTTAGAATAATGCTTTCATAATATTTATTCTACGATAGAAAATGTTCCTGATTGGTTGGTTAGACTCGCCATGATGTTCAGGGTAAAGAAGGCGTTAGCATGTCTATGGCCTCTAAATGCCAGGGATGAATCACTGGAGTTTATTTGACAATGGAGATGTAATAAGTCCATGTGATGCAGGCTGTAACTGCCTGCACACTACAATGTGATTTAAGTGGAAAACTTTGGCTGAAGAAGGCAATTTCCTGCCCATATTCAGCCAGAATAACGACCAGGATGTGATCATCATACTCGGTTTTCATATTTGAGCGTGATTCATTTTTATTTCAATTTTGATAAATCTTACAGGGAAAAAATTGGCATATGGATACTACAAATGTTTGATATTCCTAAATATCTCAAAATTTATTACATCTCTGGCCAATAATGGGGGACGTTGTACTAGCACTGACTCTTCTGGTTCTACTTCTAAAGCCTTAAACATACATTAAAAAAAGAAACTTGCACTATACCTGCATCACCTAAAACTGACCTTTGACCTTGACCAAAAGGTCCTAGGTCGAATAAGTGCAAATTTATAAATAGATAAATAAAAACAGCAAACGTTTCACTTTTGCACACACAAAATTCTGAAAAAAGCAGGTATATGTCAGTAAACATACAGATTTGCTAATAAGGGGAGACATGTATTTTTTTGCTCAAAAACTAATCAAGTTGAGTATGTGATATGTTGAATGTAATCTTCAGTGTTGGAAAATGTTTGGATTTGCATTAGAATATCACTTAATAAGTATAATGTGATACCTTGTTTATGAATTCATTGGACTTTGTCAGTAAGTAGCTTACTCTGTTGACATATATTAGAGAATCATGCTTGTCATGTACAGGATGATGTAACATATGATGTGAAATGATATAATACTCAATATCGAAACTCACAACACTCACCCAGCCTTCCCAAGGTTATACCAGAGAGCCAGGCAGTTATAATGACTTTATTGATTTATTGACCAACAAATGTACTTTGATGAAAGATTTTTAACGTTGTTGCATATCAATTAATATTCATTAATGAAATTATAGAAATAACATGAAAAATTCATAAAATTAATGTTTTTAATGTTTTCACTGATGATATATGTGATGACCCATATATTGTTTGTTCAGGATTCTATCCCATGAAATAACCAAAATGCTGATGATGAGTATTTATTGATTTCCATGCAAAAAAAACATTACAATACTGTCATGACAAAGATTTCCATCCATTACATACCGGTGACTCACCTGATAGCTACAACGTATAGCTTTACTGGCGTCAGTACAAAGTTCGTGTTGTCCTTTACATGTTTTATTAACGAATCCAGTCCACAGATAATAAAGTATATATACTGTTACTTGTTCTCTTTCTGTTTTCCTGGCTCCGTCCATAGACTCTTCACTGTCTACAATACTGTATAGAGGGATTCATATGCATCAATTACTGGGAATTATCAAACTTAGACTTAAATAAAATGATCATTTTTATGTTTTTGTATAAACCAAGTCATTAGATTGATAGCAAATGTTCCTGTAGATCATGTATTTTAACAAGGTTTATTAGATAATTTCTCATCACAGAAGGTAGAAAAGCTAGAGTGTTTCATTTCCAGGCCCGCTGTCAATAGTCTGGTGGTAGTTATAGTGAACAAGCGATGAAACAAATGATATAGTTAACAGCCTGGGCCATCACCGTACAATAACAGGCATGTAATCACAATAACCCTGTCGGGTAGGCTTGTTTTATTACTGAGGTTGTCTGGTTTATTCCTGTTGTTTGTGATTGTATTACAGATTCTCTATAGGCTATTGTCATGTTTACCTGTGATAACTAAACTTGAGGGATAGGCTTATGATTGCACTATAGAGTAAATTATGACGCAATATTGTTTCTTATGAGTAGACATTATTGTAGTTTAATTTTATTTCAGTAATACTTACCATAACTTTAGTATGCTTATGCAGTAACTGCACCCATCTTTGTAGCCCAAAAGCAAGAGATTAAAAAATCCTGTCATCCCTACAGTCCCATGAGCCTTTATGACAGACATAGAGTGATCTCCCTTCCTCTTTCCTTTATGGCGCCACTGATGGCTGATGTGTGTCAAATGAGTGCTCTCATTTTCTTGCTTTTCAGCTACTCAGTTCGTTTCTGAGAATCGTGTTTTGCACAGTTTGCATTCTTATCCCAATCTGTCCTTTATTTATGTTTGTTAGCCTTGGGTTTTTTCCCCGGCCGTTTGCTGCCTTCCTTTGCTATGGTGGTCAAAGATTTCAGGTTGAATATTTGTGTTCTTGTGGGCAACTCCAAGGCTTCAAAGAGACTGAAAAAAACATTGACTTAACATGTTCATTGTTTATAGAATGATATGAAAATAATAACACATCATTGATGTAACAGTACTTTTCATAGGTTGAATAATAAATAGTTTGTAATGAGTAACAATCTTAATTTAGCAGTATAACACATTCTAACACATTATCATTTTTTTGGCAAATTAGTGCAATGATAGATTAGCTTATCCACTTTGATTGCTCCATAGACACAATAAAGAAACTCCAATTAGCAATCATATTTTAACACAATATTTTCAGTGCACAAAGCATTCTATTTCAGCAAGAGCTAAATTATTCATGTTTATATTATTGAAATTCAGTGCCATTCAAAACAACTCTTCATTGTTGCAATTCATGCCATAAAACTTGTCGAGCACAAAAAATGTTGAAATATTGTAATCACTGAAATACATTTATAATACTTCAATGATTTTCAAAAGACATATAATAGGTACAGATGTCGACACTAAAATTACAGTCTACTAGATTTTGGCATGGTAAAATAGATATTTTGTTTGAAAGAATTACATGAAATTCCAAAATATTGGAACCCTTTAATACTTTCCTTAAGCCACAAAACAGAAAATCTTAAACAGTCATAAAATGACAATAAAACCACTTGAACATGGAATGGAGTGTTATCATAGGTAAAATTGTATATTTTGGTACTCAGAAAATGTCTGTTGTCGTTACCAAAATCTGTAGAATACAGGA